AATTGAACACTAAGGGAATTTGTCACTACTAAACCTGCTCTATAGAAATGCTCAAAGGTGTATTATACATGCCACAGCACAATAGATACCCACCACTGTAAATACACCCAAAAGTTAAAGTTCACAGTTCATATAAACAATACCACAAGAGGAAAACCAAAATAATAAGATATCATCCAACATGATGAAAACAACAGCATCCACATATCAGTAGTAATATTCAACGTGAACTGTCTCAATGTTCCACTTAAATGAAAAGGACTGGCTGAATTGATAAAAAAAAAAAAACACCTCATATATTTGCTTTCTCCAAAAAATATCTCTAAACCAGAAGGAATTGCATGGACTAAAGGGTAGGTGAAGGAAAAAAATAGTCCAAGTAAATAGAAAACAAAAGCAAGCAAGTATAGCCATTCTCACATCAGATAAAATAGACCTTATGGTAAAAAAAAAAAAAAAAAAGACAAATATGGTCACCATGTAATGGTAAAGGGAGCAATGCAACAAGAAGATCTATCAATCCTAAATATATATGCACTTTACACAGGAACTTCCAGTATCATAATGCAAATTCTTCTAGCTCTTAGCAAAGAACTAACCAGAATATGCATTCTTCTTATCAGCTCATGGAACATAGTCCAAGACTGATCATATCTTAGGACACAAAGCAAGTCTTTCAGCAAATACAAAAATAAAAACAAGAAGCAAAATCATACCATCTATCTTCTTAGACCACAGTGAAATAAACTCAGCTTTCAAGTCCAGGAGAAACATTTGCTTCTACACAAATTATGGAAGTTAACCTGGTGTTGAAGGATCCATTGGTTAATAATGAAATTAAAATGGAAACCAAAAAGATTCCTTAAACAGAAATACAAAGAGGACAGATAAAAAGCAGCACTAAGGGGAAAGTGTATACATTTAAATGCCTACACCAAAAAGACAGAAAGATCACAAATCAACAACCTACTGTTAAATCTCCTGAAGTAGAAAAAGAAAAACAAACAAACCCAAAGCCAGTAGGAAAAAAGACATAACAAAACTCTGAGTACAACTAAATGAAATGGAAAGAACAGAAATAACACCAAAATACAAAGAATCAATGAAACAAAAGTTGATTATTTGAAAAGATAAGCAAAATCCATAGACCACTAGCCAGATTAATGAGAAGCAGGAGACAATGGACTCAAATAAGCTCAAGGTGAAATGAAAAAGGAGACATTACAACTGATGCTACAAAATACAAAATATCATTTATGGTACTACCAAAATCTCTATGCACACAAAATAGAAAATGTACAGGAAATGAATAAATTCCTGGAAACACACACTCTCCCAAACCTGAATCAGGAATAAAAGAAATCCTGAACAGATCAATAACAAGCAGTGCGATTTAAGCACTAACAAAAAAAAATCTCCCAACAAAAAACTAAAAGTCCCAGAAAGGATACATTCAAATTTGAATGTTAGCAGGCCTAGAATAAACTGGTTCCTATCTTATAAAAATGATTTCACAGCATCCAGAAGGAGGGAATCCTTCCTAACTCATTCTCCAAAACCAGTATCACTATAATAAGAAAGCCAAGAAGACACAAAAAAAAAAAAAAAAAAAAAAAAAAAAAAAAAAAAAAGAAAGAAAGAAAGAAAGAAAATTACAGACCAATATCTTTAACAAACATTGATGCAAAAATTTTCAACAAAATACTAACAATGAAAAGTTCATAGCTCATCAAAAAGAAAATCCACTATGATCAAGTTTTATGGGATGCAAAGACAGTTTGACATAGTTAAATCAATAACATTTACTACATAAACACAAGCCAAAACAAAGACCATATGATCTCAATAGATGTAGAAAAAATATTTGATAAAATCCAGCACCTTTCCATGATAAAAGCTTTCAGCAACCTAGGCATATAAAGAATATGATTCAAATTATAAAACCCACATATGACAGGCCCACAGCCAAAATAATATAAATGGGAAAAGTTGAAATTATTCCCCCTAAGAATTGCAACAAGGCAAGAAAGGTTTCCCTCTGTCACTACTTCAATTCAACACAATACCCTAAGTCCCAACCAGAGCAATCAGCCAAGAGAAAGAAATAAAGGGTACTCACATTGAGAAAAGGGAGTCAAACTATCCCTGTATGCTAAAGATATGATATTTCAAGTAGAAAACTCTAATGATTTCATCGAAAGACTCATGGAATTGACACAAATTAGGAGCATTTCTACATACTAATAACAGTCAAGCTGAAGCCAAATTAAGGACTCAGTGTATTCTCAATAGTTATAAAAAGATAAAATACCTAGGAATATACTTTACCAAGGGGCTGAAAGATCTCTACAAGGTGATCTACAAATTACTGAATAAAAAAATCGTAGATGACACAAACAAATGGAAAAACACCCGTTGCTCATGGACTGTCAGAATCAAGATTGTTAAAATATTCATACTGCCCAAAGTGATTTACAGACTCAGTGCTATCCCCATCAAAATACCAATGTCATATTTCACAGACCTATAAAACATAATCCTAAACTTCATTTAAAACCAAGAAAGAGCCTGGATAGCCAAAGCAATCTTAAGGAAAAAGTTCAGACCTGGAGGCATCACATTACCTGATTTCACATTATAACTGCAAGGCCCTAGTCACCAAAACAGCATGGTAAGGATATAAAAGTAGAGGCAACGAAGAATGAAACACACTAGACAACCCAGAATAAAACATACAGCTATGACCAACGGATCATCACAAAGTACACAACAACATACACTGGGAAAGGATGCTTTATTAAAGAAATGGTTCTGGGAAAAGTGGATAGCCACATGCAGAAAAATGAAACAGGACCCCTACTTCTTGCCATATAGAAAAGTTAATTCAAGATGGTTAAAACACTTAAGTGAAAGACATGAACTATTATAAATTATACAAGAAAACATAGGAAACCTCTTCTAGACATTGGCCTAGGCAATGAATTCCTGACTAAGACCCCTAATCATGCATAGCAACAACTAAAATAAATAAATGGAAATTAATTAAACTAACCCTAACCCTAACCCTAGAAAAGGCAATAATCAACAGAGTGAATAAACAACCTACAGAATGCAAGAAAATGTTTACCAACTATACATCAGATAGAAGACCAATATCCAGAAACTAAAAAGAATTCAAACAAATCAGCAAGACAAAAACCAACAAACAAACCCATCCCATCAAATTGTGGGCAAAAGACATGAACACAGGTTTCTCAAGAGAAGGCCAAGAAATATATGAAAAAATGTTTACCACCACTAATCCTCCAGGAAATACAAATTAGTACTTACTGGGGGGTATAAGATACCACCTTACCCCAGTCAGAATGGCCATTATTAAAAAGCACAAAGCAAAAAAAAAAAAAAAAAAAAGAGTCTGGCATGCTTCTGGAGAGAACAGGATGCTTATAAATAGTTGGTCAGACTGCAAATTAGCATAACTTCTATGGAAAGCAGTATGAGGATTAATCAAGGAAATAAATGTAAAAAAAAGTCACTTATAAAAAGACAGCAGCACTTGAATGTTTATTGCGGCACAATTTAAAATTGCAAAGATGTGGAATTAACCTCAGTGCCCATCAATTTATTAGTAGATAAACAAAATATGGGGTGTGTATATATACCATGGAGTATTACTCAGCCCTAAAATAAATGAAATAATGTCTTTTGCACCAGCTTAGATGGAACTGGAAACTATTATCTGAAGTAAAATAGCTCAAAATTGAAAAACCAAACACCATATGTTCTCATTAATAAGTTGAAGCTAAAGGATTGGTACACACAGGTACAAGGAGATATGAAGGTCATCAGAAACAAAGAAGGGGGATGGTGAGGGAATGAGGAACAAATACATACCTATTGGGTACAATGAACAATATTCAGGTTATAGGCACAACAAAAGGTCTGACTTAAGCATGAAAGAAGGTATTCATATAACAAAACTTTTGTATCCCTTTAATATTTTGAAATTTAAAAAGGTAAACAAAAGTAAAAGAAAAAAAATATACTATGCCAAATAACCAGGAATAAAACTGCTATGGTTAATTTGATGTCATTATATAACACAATAATCATTATTGGAAATGTAATTTAATAATGATTGACCTATTTTTCAAACTATTAGTTTTAAACTTTTAGAATATATATGTACCTAATAATCCTATTTCAACATAGAATTTAAAGGACTGAATGAATAAACAATCATAAACATGTAATAAACAATTTTGTCTCAATTATTATTACATAGGTACATAGGTGAGCCTATAGAAAGATTTAAACTAGACAACCGTTACAAACATGCACATGTGCACACACGCGTATACACTCTACACTAACACAGAGTACTCATATTTTTATATTCTCATGGGAATATTTCCAGATATACTATAAGTTCAAGTAACAGCTTGGGCGGTGACACTTGAAGTGCAGCTATTAGTATTAAAATTATAATTAATTAAAAATAAATAATATTTAAAATCAATTCCTCCATCATAGCAGCCACATTTTAACAGACATGTAGAACATTTTCAGTTTCACCCACAGTACTGTAACTACAGTTATCCTATATAGAAGTCGATAACCCAAATTTTGAAAATCTTCACAATTTTTAATTCTGTCATATATTGCTAAAGAAAGGATGAGCCAAAGAAATTACCACAATGATAGTCACAATTTTTATAGGAATTATGACTAAAATAGAGCAGACGTCTTTCTTGTGAAAAATTGGTTGCCTTAAATGCATATGTTGCAAAAAATGAAATCATGGAATTATCTGTGAATGAATCAAAACAAAAAAGGAAAAAAGATGAAATTAAATTAAATAATAAGTGAAGTAGAAGAAAGAAAAAAAAACAAATAGTATAAAATCATGAGACACAATAAGCAGAGAGGTTCAACAAAGCCAAATATATTTTTATTGAAAAAATAAAACTGATAAAAGACTATTTAAGAAAGAACCAGGGAAGACACAAAATTTTTTCTAGATTAAATGTAAGAATATCTTATAGTTTTAGCAGATAACAAAAAGTATGAAATCATTTTATAAATACAATTTAATGTCCATGCTTCCCAGTGTTGTCTTGATAGCACGAACTTTCAAGTATGTAGCAATCAGTAAAAACATAATAGAATAGTAAAATAGTAAAAACATAATAGAATCTCTTTGTGAACACGGATTATGAAAGAAATGCTACTCTAATGTAATATATTTACTGATTTACATTAAAGGAATAATATGGAATGACCAGTATGATTTTATCTCAGAAATCCAAAACTTATTGAACATTTAAAGAAAATAAAAGTGGTTTAGATTATAAACATTACATGGAGAAAATATATAAGATTTCAATTGACGCAAAAGTATTAAAATGTAACCAGGGTTCAAAGCAAAACCTGGTAGAAAATGGGAATATTATAAAACTGCTTGAATATGCTAAAGTTATAAGAAAATTCAAAAATATGAAATGTTGAAATCTTCTCATCAAAAACAGGAAATAACACATATGATATACATAGAACCATTATTGTGCTTTCTCTTCATCATAGAAAATAAAATTCTAGACAGTGAAAATAAATAAAGAAAAAATTTATGGCATCAGGAAAAAAATAAAAGTGTGGTTATTAGAGGAAAAATAGTAGTTAGTTTATATAGAAAATCCAGAAATCCTATACCTGAAGTAGTAGAGTTAATACATAAAATCAATGAAGTAACTTAATATGGGATCAACGTACAAATGTCAATTGTATTTCTATTTACAGCAACAAAATAACTAAAGAAAATTTTAAAATGGGGTTGCTATTCATAAAGGCATAAATGAGAAATATCTAGATTTCTGTATGACTTCAATACCAATCAATACAAAATATGATAGAAAGAAATGAAAGAAAACGTAATATATTGCTGTACATAGCATGACATTGATAGGAAAAGTTAACTTTATACAGAAGCCTAATCTTTGAATATGACTTTAAAGAATAATGCAGTCCCAAACATAATTGCAGGAGAGCTATTTCCAAATAAGTGCTATGGAGATGTTATGTAAATAGCATAAATTTCATCTATTTAAAGTATATAAATCAGTTAATTTTAGTATGTTTACAGAGTTACAACAAAAGTACTTCCAAAATTTGGAAAAGTTTCATCACCCAAAAAAGTGTAGCAATTAGTGGTCACTTCCTATTCCAACTTCCCGAACTTAGCCTTTCATGACTATTCCTGTTTCAGTCTCTAAGGGTTCGCCCATTCTTGATATTTCATGTAGACAGATGCCCATAACATGCAATTTTTTGAACACATGAATGCCACGGGTACAATGTTGAGCAAAAAAACCCAAACAAACAAACAAAAAAACAGACACAAAAGCGACGATATCCTGTTCTTTCTATTGTCTGCATTATTCTACAAATATTATTTTTGAATATCTTTTCATTACTAAACAAATTACAATTCATTGACTGATGAAATCATAATATTATTTCCATTTCACAAAACATAATATTACCTGGCCGACTCCAAAATCAGGTGCTTTACTTCTAAAACTCATGCTTACAAATATATGTTTTTGTAGATTCACATCCACCTGAGTGAAGACTGGGTGACTGTAGCACAGCACAGTTATGTTTACCAGGTATTGATTCCTCTATTCTGTGATGGAGAAAAATTCATACTTCTTTTATATTTTATGGAGACAATCCATGAAACAACAGGATTTTTCATGTTTTTTAAGAAAAGGATTTTGTCATTTAATCACATTTTAATGTAATATTCATAAGAGTTGGTTGTTACAAAACTGGTTGTTGGTTGTTATACAGTTGAATGCCATATCCTCAAACTACAGAAAATAAAACCACCAATAAAGGGAAACAAGTGTTGCCCATTCTTTAATATTTATATCAGCATGTCACTAAATTTCTACATCTTTTTCATGTCTTTAATTCAATGTTAACTTACTCATATTATTCTCCTGAATTTCTTCTATTTATATTTTTTTCTACTATATCCCACCACTCAAAACACTTACTTAAGTTTGAAAGTTGACCCATTTCTTGATACCCAGGGTTGCTCACTGCTGTTACGAAAGACTCCAATCCACGCTTTCTTTGAAAGGGAGCTCAGAAATTTCTACAGAAATATAAATATTGTGTATTTAAATAATTATCAAATATGTAACAATTTTTTAAAGTGACAGTAGTGTGTTCTTTCATTGGATCTATAACTGTCAGAATAAAATTACTGTTTTAAGCAAGATTAAAGTTGAAAATCTCTTTATAAAGTGCTAAGAACTTTCAAAAAAGTCATAATTTTCATTTAAAATGAACTCTTAAATATTTATACTTAATAGTGTCATTCTTCTTCTTTTGTTAATGAAGAAAATTATGACCCATGTAATTTAAGAGTAACCAGTAATTGGCAAAACTAGTATAAATGAATTTAAATAACTTTCCAGACACTGTACATATATTTCTCCTGCTGATAATATTAAATCAATGTAATATTAAATCAATGTATATTTATACATTTCTGAGAGTTTGGGGTTTAGAAGGAAATTCAAAGGGCTGCCATTCAGGAGATAAATGATATAGAAGCCAAAATATGGTTTTCTGGGCATCACACAAGTCTTTAACTAGCTAAGGCCACAGTTTGTCTGTTTTGGTACAGGATGAACACCACTGGTCCAAATCCGGTGCTTCCCTTTACTATATACCACTATAAATTCTGGAACTTATGAAAGACACAAGCAAGTAGAATCTGAAAGTTGGAAAGAGAAAGGAGGAGTGGCTTAGGACTCCAGGATCAGGGACCAACACACTGGCTGGGAATTTTAAGTCCCCACCCTACAGAAGAAAGGGACCTACGCCGGCTTTTTCCCAGCACCCACCCTGGCAATGAGAGGTGCCTCAGGTGAGTTCATTCCCCCTCTGCATTGAGAAAGAGTCCTGCTAGCAACACCAGCAAGGTTGGCACCACTGGTAAGGGGGATCTATCAGGAGACCTACTAACAGCCAGAGGAAGTGCTTCTGCCCTTACCAAGACACACCAGGGTAGGTGTGGCTGAGGGGGACCAGCAAAGGAGCCCCACGACTACAAGTGCTCCATCCAGGAAGCCTCTGTGTCCCTCAGAGCCTGAGACTCACAGTTCAGTGCATGAATACGAATGAACAGAGAGTGATATTAAAGTGCATCCTAATGACTCCATTTATAAAACTTCAAAAACACATAAAGTTTATTTGTAATATTAACAGTCAGGACAGTGGTTTGAGGATAAGGGAGAAGTGTTGAGGACATGAACATCAGCCAGGCTGCTGGAATGGAAATGCCTATTTTGTGATCTGACTTGTATTACAGGAGTCCATTCACTTTGTGATCAATCTGTACAATCACGATGTGATTATTTCTAGTACAACTAAATAGTAAAATTCAATTTAGAACAAAAAGTTTTATGGAAGCATGGTTTACCTTAAATAGCAAGAATTGGTAATAATTAAATCAGCATTAGCAGTGTATTAATTGAAATAAATTATTATTTATATAGACCTTAAGATAATGAAACTAAAATATGTACAATATGATGAATTCTATAAATATCATATTGAATGCAAGAGGCTTCTAATAAATTTGAAACATTTAACGCCTTACCATTTCTTCTTCATTATCTATATAAAGCAGATTAGAGTTCTTAGAAGCACAGGCCTTCACACTGTCATCCCAAGTTTTTGTTTCCTTACTAATGTAGTAACAATTGGTGGAATATGCGAGCCACTCTTCTGGACAACGACCACAACCGTATGCTGAAGAAAGACTCTGAATTATTATCAAGAAGCAATATGAATTTTTTAAAATAATCAATCTGTGTGTTTGTAAAGATATAAACTTATATGCACATATCCTTGCATCCGGACAGCGGGTACATTTAAAAAACACATTCTCGCTCATACACGCACACACTGAAAATGTTAAGTCTCTCCTGTCCTAATTATGTTCCCACTTAAAGAAAAAATTAAACAAAATCCTCCCTACACATGTCTGAGATATCACTGAACAAAACGATTTTTTTAGAATAACACAGCTATTTAATCCTTATCATATGACAGTAGTAATAATTGGAGTAAAATGGCAAAAAGAGGGTATAGTCATTTTAATAAGTATTTCTACTTATTGTTAAAGAAAAGAGAATGTCCTCTTATTATATTTATTCACAAACATTTATTGTCCAATATTCTAATTTATTTACCCCCCAAAATCTATTTTATTTTTGCACGGACTAAGATAGAGACAAAATATAAAATGTACCTTTCTGAGTTCTTATAGCCTGAAAAGAAATGTTTGGCTTCTGTGTTAATGTACCTGGAAAAAATTGAAATACTCCTTATTAAATAATTAAAATCTTAATATCCTATTTCCTATTATTATAAAATGCTTAGAGGCACTTTCCATTATTAAGATGAAAAGTTCTATTATAACCGTTCAAAAATACACTTACAGGGAATGTGAGCTATTAATATCATTTTTAACACAGAGCCCACTAGGACAGTGCAAATGATGGCCAGGATCTCAGCAGTGAGCTTCTCTGGAGGTAGCAGTGAAACTGCAGGGAGAGAAACAGAAACACTGAGAAAGGAGAGATGGAGACAGTTGATTAGAAGGTTTACATACAAGACAACTCACATGTACAGGGAATCTAAGGGATAAATTCTTGTCTCTAAACCCACATCTACATAATAATATTTCTCTCAAAATACACTGTTGCATATTCAGTAAATATAATGCCCCATGATTTGTTGATGAAAGCCTATAAGCTTAACAATTCTGAATATAATTAGCCTTCAGATTCGGATTAGAGTACCATATCCAAACTTCGAGCTCTAATCCTCACGAATGAAAAATATTCCCTCATCTTTCTTACAACTCTTCACTAAAATGGCATATCCCAGAATAGTTATTGAGGATAGAGTAACTGCTTACATTGGTAGTAGCAGGTCTTCTCTTTCCCCTGAAGATCCCCTGAAGTAGCATTTTGAAGGTTTAATTCCACTTGGGTTATTTCCTGTTCAGTTACTGAAATGGAGCTTTTATCACCCTTAGATTTTCTTTGCTGCCTCTTTGGGTCCTTGGCCAGGTTCAGTCCTGAGTAGGTTACTTTCTGGTTCTTCATCTCTGCAGCTGTGTGATTCAGAGAAATAAATGATTTATTAGATGATAAGATCCCTGGCATAGTGAGACTAGGGTATATTGGGAACTGAGTAATAACATTCATTTTGCAGGTGAACAATGTAAAAGTCTGATACTAATTTCCTTGAAGTTTTATACAAAGTCTTATAATTGAACAGGTAATTCTCAAAAAACATAGTTTACATTTGACATAATATAATTAGTTGGAGCAATAAAAAATGATAAACTAGTGAGGAATAGAAGCTTATTAATACAAATATCTTTATTAAAGTCAGATCTTGCAGAAATGTTTTAATACCATTTAGAATATGTGTGTTAAATTATTAAAATTATGTTTTGGAAATAATGCACTAATTCTAAGACACTGTTACAATTCATTAATCATGGATAATTGAGTGCTATGAGATGGGGAAGTAGTAATATTAGTACATATAGTAATGTCTTACACTAAAATACTTTTAGTTAGTGATTTACACTTATAATTAAACTTTAAGAAAGATCCCATGGTGTCGAAATCGTAAAGCACTTTTGTCGTGTAAATAAGTATGATAATTTAGATAATGTAATCTGATTATATATTCAATGAGCTCCACAGTCACCAAGATCTAGAATTACATCTGGGCTTTGAAATTTATAATATGCAACCGTTGAAAGTTACCTAGTGTCTAGTAACATAGCTTACTAATCTAGAATGGAAAAAAAATAATTTATAAAGTATTATGTATGTAAAACACTTAACACATACATGGCAGTTATAAGCTATCAAAATGTTAGTATTTTAATTATTTTTATTACAATTTCTCCATTATATCTGATTCACATTAGTTACAGCATGTGAAATAATTCATCAAATAGGAATCTCTTATATCATCTTTTTGTTGCAATATATTGCTCAAATATTTTTTTAAGTCTTTCAATTGTTTATAATTAAGTTTAGATTCACATTTTATTAGTCATCTCATTCTTATTTTACCCAAATAAAATTGCCTGCATTTAGTCTAAAAACACAAATGTGAAGTTACATTTGACATACATTATTTGAAGTATTTATTTTAAACATCTATTTCTAAAGGCTGGGCTAAAGAGAAAATATAATTGGATCTGTACTGATTATAAAATTAATTATCATGGTTAATTGTCATGATTGTTAAGGGTTTCACTTTAAATAATATTGATTAGGAAATCTAATCTCATGAGTATAAGTTCTTGACTCATTCTCCACTGGCAATAATTTGAGTACTTGAGACAATCCTTAACATATTTTATACTTTAGGCTTCTTTTTCACCCTCAATTATTTAAGTAAAAGCACTAATGTTATACTCTGATATTACCCTAGTATTTATAACTTCCCACTAAGTGAGATGGGCTAGTAGACATAGAAGAGAATATCAGCACATACCTTCTGTCCCCAGAATGTCCTGCAGCCTTTAGTGGAGTGTCCAGGCTCCTCTTGATAAGAAAGAAGAAATGTCTGTGATCTCTGCAGAATGCTCTGTGAAGGCTCAGAGCGAGGCAAGAGTGGAGAAGGGAGATTTCTCATCAATGTGTCACTTTAGGGTCTGAACAGGAAATTCTCACACTTGGGCTATTTTGAATTCAGTTGATCTCATCACAGACCTCCAGAATAGAGGAGACTTTGGGCTCCTAGTGTCATTTAGTTTGTCCATTTTCAAGTGCCTCTAGAAATTATTTTCATATTCGACAATATAGAGGTTTGACTAGCCATGCAGTTAAGTTTCTCCATCTCAATTATAAACACTAAAATCGTAGGCCTTGTTAACAGTATCTTAAGTGTTTATGTTCTACATTTAGACAAGGTAGTTAAAACTTGGCTTTGTATACTTCTTTTCCTTATACTCTTTTAAATATAATTGCTATTATAATGAAAAATAACTTTAAATCATAATCACATTTTTAGTAAAAGTTTAATGCATTGTTCACTAATTATTCTAAGCAATTGCTACATTTTCAACATTATTGTAATCAATATGACATCAATTCCCAAACTTATCTTCTTGATTTCTCTTACTTAGTACCTAAAATTCTCATATTCAGTTTTATACTTTATAAACAAGTTAATCAGATTTATCTGAAAAACTAAATGCCTCTGGGAAGGATAATATATTAAACAATATTGTATTATATCATCATGCCAGAAATTGAAATATTGAACAACTACTCAATATTGTTCACTGATTCATTCTCCCATCACAATGAATTGTCTGTATTTTAATAGGAATATTTGTTGTAAATGACTAAAGCCTAAGACTATGTAGGAGAAAACACTAATTTTAAAAAATGTCACCTAACTAAAAATGGCTAGGGCAAAAAGGTAGACTTTTAGTATAGATTAAATGATACATGAATATAAAGGGAAAATTTTATCCAATCTGTATCAAATGGAAATCTTTTCATCATTCCTCATATCACATCAAGAAAAGGGAGAATGTTTGTTATTTATAATTCCAAAGGTTATTCCATGAAATCTCTTAAAGATTAATATCAGAAAAACTCAATCTTCAGCACTCTAAATCTACCAAAATGGAATTTAAATCCATAGTTATGTCCCTAAAATCTGAACAATTATTTGAGCCTTTCAGGAGAATGCTAATGTTGACTAGGTGTATATGTGTTTCTCTTACATTTTAATATATTTTTATAAAATAAATTAACAATCTGATATATATACTTGTGTACATATTTTATGTATTTCTATTAGAAAGAAATTTATATTTACATATCAAATTTTCATAAACTAAATTAATCTTTTCTATTGGTCACATTATAGAATTAAAACAACAAAATGAACACTAAGAATGTCAAATACTATAAAATGCACTGTCTTCTTTATAAATTTGTGGTACCAATATCTACTATGCCTATAAACATCCACTTAGTATTTCAATTAAACAAAGTTATACAGTCACATGTCACTTAGCGACAGGGATACATTTTGGGAAATGCATTGTTAGGTTATTTCATCATTGTGTGAACCTCATACAGTATATTGTTATGAACTAGATGGTATAACTTACTACATCCTTAGCCTTTATCATATAACCTCTTAGTCCTAGGCTACAAACCTATACAGCATACTATTATTCTGATTAATATATGCAACTGTAACACAATGTTAATATTGTGTGTTAAACCTATTTAAGGTCCAGTAAAAAATATGGTGTAAAAGATAAAAAATGATATACCTGTACAGTACATTTACCATGAATGAAGGCTGCAGGAATAGAAGTCTCACCAGGTGAATCAGTGAGTGAGTAGTGAGTGAGTATGAAGGCCTAGGACATTACTGTGTACTATTGTAGACATTGTAAACACTGTGTGCTTAGTCTACATTAAATTCATAAACAATTTTTCTTTGTTCAATAATAAATTAACCTGAACTCCTTATCTTACTATAACTTTAATTTTTTTTTAATTTATTCGGGATATTATGGGGGTACAAACATTTTGGTTGCATGTAATGTGTTTGCCCCAACCAAGCCAGGCCTACAAGCCTGTCCCTCTCTCAAAACAGTGTGTTCTGCTTCCATTAGTTGTGGGTTTACCCAACCCCCACCCTCCAAAGGCACCCAATGAGTATTACTACCATGTGAACATGGTAGTTGGTCAGTTAGTACTAATTTGATGGCGAGTACATGCATGTTTTCCAACCCTGTGATACCTCACTTTGAAGGATGGGCTCAAGCTCTATCCAGGGTAATATAAAAGATGCTAGATCACCATTGTTTTTCGTAGTTGAGTGGTATTCCGTGGTATGCGTACACCACATTTTATTAAACCACTCATGTACTGATGGACACCTGGGTTGTTTCCACATCTTTGCAATTGTGAATTGTGCTGCCATACACATTCATGTGCAGATGTCTATTATAGAATTGTCTTTTTTCCCTTTGGGTAAATGCCTAGTAGTGGGATTGTTAGATCAAATGCTATTTCTATTTTTAGCTCTTTAAGGTATCTCTAAATTACTTTCCACAGGGGTTGTACTACTTTGCAGCCCACCAGAGGTGTAAGAGTGTTCCTATCTCTCCACATCCTCACCAGCATTTGTTGCTTTGGGACTCTTTGATAAAGCCCATTCTCACTGGAGTGTGGTGATACTTCATTGTGGTTTTGATTTGCATTTTCCTAGTGATTAGAGATGCTGAGCACTTTTTTATATGTTTGCTGGCCATTACTCTGTGTTCTTTTGGAAAGTTTCTCTTCATGTCCTTTATCCATTTATTGATGGGGTTGTTTGATTCTTTCTTGTTGTTTTTCTTAAGTTCTATATAGATTTTTTTTTTATCAGCCCTTTATCAGATGTGTAGAAAGCAAATATTTTTGAGATTGCAGGACTACGATGCACAAGGGACAGTGGGCATCCTGCTAATTCAGCCCTCTGAACCGGCAACTGCCAACTCCTGAGCTGTAGCCCCAGTGCTGCCTATTTGGCGGTGGGCGGCCACCATTTATGGGGTCCACAACTGGAGATGCTGTAATGTGCTGCAGTTTCAGTTTCGGGCAGCACCCCTCCCCTAGCCCTGAGATTTTTGTGCTCAGCACAGTGGGATCCGCTGTTTTTAATTTCTTTTGATGCATGCTGAGATAATTCATTTTCTGCTCTCTTGATAATATATGCATTTAAGGTAATCAATTTTTACAAGAAAGACTTTTGCTGTACTGTTTTATAATTCTGATAAAATTGAGAATATTTATTCTGGTAATTCCTTTGGCCTCTAAATTGTTTAGAAATAGAAAGCTCCCTTGTGCCCCAGTCTTTGGTGTGGTTTTTTTTTTGTGTGTGTACACTCTTCTAACCTTGCTTTCTTCACTTCGTAGTATATCCTGGGGGATCACTCCAAACAGTTTATAGCGATCTTATTTTTCTTTTATCTACATAGTAGCCTGCTGTGTGGATAACATGTCATTTATTCAACCAGTCCCCGTCTAATGGACAACCGAGTTGTTTCTAGTCTTTTTTCGTCACCAAGAGTGCACAATGAACAGCCTGGAGCTTATATCCTCCACTGCCACTGGATATTTCGGTTAGATTCCTAGTAGTGACATTGCTGGATCGAAGGATGAATGCATTTATAATTTTGCCAGACACCGCCAAATTTCTCGGTATTGCACTTGTGCGTTGTGCATCCCCACTGGTGACATACGAGAGTGTTCTTTTCCTCATAGCCTTGTCAACAAATTAAATTGTTAAGTTTTTGTAACTAGGCAGAGTTACAAAATAGGCACATTTGATAGGTGAGTAGTAATATCTCAGGGTAGTTTCATTTGCTTTTCTCTTCATATGGGTGGAATTGAGCATTCCTTATGTTTTGGGGCCATTTGTATTTCCTTTTCTATGAACTATTCTGACTTTTTGCCTATTTTTCTATTAAATTGCTGCTTTTTCTTCTTTACTTTTAGAATAAAAAGTAAAAAAGAAAAGAAATATATTACTGAATAAAAACCATATAAAGTTTTCAAAGTTTTGGTTATTTATATTCTATTTTAGTAAACTATAGTAAGAACATTTTCGTAAAGCTGGAAATGTTCTACATCTGCTTAAATGTGGCTCGTGTGGCTGAGAAACTGATTTTAAATGTTACTAACTTTTCGTTAGGAGTAAATCTGAATATCTACATTTCCAGTATCTGCTGGCCAAGTTTAGGTAGTGGTACTGCATTCACAGCACGTTTCTATATTTTATATTAATATTCTTGATTATATGAGAATATAGTGTACTTTTGGGAAATTTTCATGAAATTTAAAAATATGAATATTCTGTGTTAGTATAGAGTAGATATGTGATGTGTGTTGTGTGTACACTTGTGTTGGTTTATTGTTCAGTTTAAATCTTTCCATAGGCTCACTGACATGTCTGCTTGTGTGAAACGCTGTGAGAGGTGTTTGATTACCCGTTTATGATTACTTGCCCACTTCCTTCAATTCTAGGTTGAACTTGTATTATTAGGCACTTATGCATTATTTAAACATTTAGTAATGGTATGGATAATAAGTCTATGACTATGAAACATGCTTCATTTTGAATAATGATTGTTTCATATTACGATAGTTCATTAACTATAGCAGTTTTATACCTGTTTGTTTTGAGCAATTTTTTTTTTTTTTAAACAGGATCTTGCTCTGTCTCCTAGACTACTGGACTAGAGTGCAGTGGTGTCACCATGGCTCACCGACACCTCCAACTCTTTTTGTCTCAAGAAATTCTCCTGCCTCAGTCTCCTGAGTATCTTGTACACACCAGGTACACACTACAGGCACACACCACCACATCCAGCTAATTTTTTCTATTTTTACATATTGCCTAGGCAGGTCTTGAACTCCTGGCCTCAAAGAGACCCTCCTGCCTCAGCCTCCCAAGCCACTGGGACTGCAAGCCTGGGCACCACGCCCAGATAATTTTTCTATTTTTTGTAGAGACAGGGTATCACTATGTTGCCCAGGCTATTCTCGAACTCCTGCCCTCAAGTGATCTTCCTGCCTTGGCCTCCCAAAATGCTAGGATTATAGGTGTGAGCCACTATGCCAAACTGGCTCAGATATTTTTAAAGTTTCTTATTCTCAGAACAGCGGGCTACCTGTGCATGACCTTCTTATAGTAACGACTAGCATCTCTCAGAGGGACAACAGAAAAGTGCTTCTTGATATGCTCAGAACTAATATGCTACAACTTTCCCAATTACATTATATTGTCAAAAAAAGTCA